TTTTATTCTTTGTAAAAAATGAAAGATCCGGAAGCACTGTCCAACTATTCAAATTTAGCCTGCAGGTATACGTGGTTCTCATATACGGGCACTTAAAAGTTTTGGCGGGAATGCTCACTAGATAGCATAGATGGATTCAGAGGGCGGGGGAGTGAGGGGTGCTTCGCCCTTTTCCCTCCCTGCCTAACGGCACAAATCCCGCAGAAGCCAGGGTCTGTTCATAAACGAGACAAAACTCTAAGTAGTAGTGTTACAAATCTAGGAAGGTAGGTGTAAAGCAAAAACCATTCATGCAGTTTACGCCTGAGTACTTTAAGTCTGGTTCAAAAATGCATGATCGCTCCGACAAGCCTAGTGCATTCCAGCTTGGGTAACAAAATTCTCATCATAGCAAGCGGACTGTTAATACAAGATGAAATTGCATGTCCTATATAGATTTTGAGAATTATGTGAAAATGACTTTAAAAGTGAATAGCTGTGCATCAGCAAATGCTAAGTTAAACTACACGAAAATTAGCATCCTACAGTGAAACAGGTGAACTGCTGTAGAACAGGTAACCTCGCTCGGCAAGTAGTCATGGCTTGTTACTGTGTGCCATGAATACTCGCTTCCCGGCTTCCCTACTTCTGGATTTGAATTATGCGACCAGACAGAGGTGAAAGAATGTACGCACAGATGCACATATGCGTATCGGATGTGGTCACATCAAGGGGCGGTCATTAGCATAAATCTTGTTAGGACAAAAAGTCTCCATAACAATCACGATTTGAAGAAATACCTGTATTACACAACATATCCTAACTTCGGCTTCAAGTTGCTGTTGATTCGCACCATTGGCCATTATTTCTGAGATCATGAATGTCTGCAAGCATGCACAATATGCATATTAGAAGTCGTTGTAACATAAATCTGGAAATAATTTACACACAGCAGGGAACCAGATGATGAGGGAAAATGAGTTAGTTATCCCAGCACGATCCCAGCATACCCCTACCAAACTTAGAGCCTTCATTTTTTGAATTTCTGCCTTCAAAAAATGTTCCCTACAAAATTTTAATCTTTCTCGTTTCTGAATGCGGTCTGCTGCTTGTCATATTACTGTCTAATTTGGATTGAATGCAATGACGAAGTGTCATGATCAGTGGACAAGAAGACTAATCCTTCGGCAATTTGCATGTTCATTTCGGACAGTACCAGCTACAAAAGTTCACTGAGATCGTGCAGGGCATCTAAATTTTTATGGTAGATGTAAGGTGCGGAATAAGGAAAGGTATAAAGGAAAACAGTGATGATTTTGAGGTTATTTTACTAAAAATAAAAATCGAGGGAAATTAGTGTTGAAGAAAGCTACAATCACTCGAAAATGCATTTTTGAGAGACAGCTTGAATAGAGTACCATCCATCAGCCCTGAGTCACTGTAGTCTAGAACTTCTGACTAGGCTCTTTCCTGAGAATCCAGATGATAATTTTTCAGCCAACAACAAGTGCTTTCTTTTTGGCTCAGAGCCTCATCCCCAAAAATGCCCGTAAAGCTCCACAGGACACAAAAGTCACTAAAAAAATTTTGTCTTTTCGCAGCTACAGTTCCTTCTTACAGTGCCGATGTGGTAATACTCAACACTTACTAGACAACATCCCAAAACGGTTGAAATTTTGCTGTCAGAAAAACTATTGATCGTCTAATTCTTAGCGCGGTTCTCCAACAATGCAGCTAACGCTAGTAAGTGAAATGACCAATATAAGCGCTTATATAAATTTGCATGATGGCTCGGTACAGATCAGTGATTGGTGCACTTTTACTTGGCCTTTTAATGAAAGAGTTGTCCAGAAAAAAGTGAATGAAAAATGGGCCATGCTAAACAGCTGTTCAAATTTTATTGATGCATCGCAAACGAATATAGGAGGCACGAAAATCCTCGATTTTGCGTTCTTCTCATCAAAAACTCAAAAATGAAAAAAAGAATCTCAAAAGTTTCTAGTATTTATAGATAACAAATTCATTAAAACATCCACTAAGATTTATTAGTACCGCCTGAAGCTCCGGGCAATCGCTTACATTTGAAAAATCTG